AGGATTGCCCAACCTTCCTTCTGATTACCAAGCATGATATCCTTCTCCAGGGAATGGTTCCTTCTGACAACATGACCAAAGTGGGTGAGACAAAGTTTAGCCATTCTTGCTTCCAAAGAACATTCTGGCTTCACTTCCTCCAGCACAGATTTGTTAGTCCTTTTAGCAGACCATGGAGACTCTTAGCATTCTTCTCCAACACCACAACTCAAAAGCATCAACTATTCTTCAGTCTTTCTTATTCATTGTCCAACTCTCACATGCATAACAAGTGATTGAAAATACCATGGCTTGGGTTAGGCTCACCTTAGTCTTCACAGAGACATCTTTGCTCTTCATCTTTTGAAAAGGTCTTTTGCAGCGGATTTGCCTAATGCAATACATCCTCAAATGTCTACTGCTGCTTCCATTGGTGTTGATTGTAGAACCAAGTAATATGAAATCCTTGACAACTTCAGTCTTTTCTCCATCCACCGTGAAGCCGTTTATTCGACCAGTTATAAGGATTTTTGTTTTCTTTATATTGAGGTGCAATCCATACTGCAGACTGTAGTCTTTAATCTTCATCAGTAAGTGCTTCAAGTCATCCTTACTTTCAGCAAGCAAAGTTGTGTCATCTGAGTATTGCAGATTGTTACCAAGTCTTCCTCCAATCCTGATCCCTCGTTCTTCTTTATATAGTCCAGCTTCTCTGATTTTTTGCTCAACATACAAGTTGAATAAGTATGGTGAAAGCATACAACCTTGATGCACTCCGTTCTAGATTTTGAATCATGCAGTATCCCCTTGCTCTGTTGGAATGACAACCTCCTGATCTATGCACAGGTTCCTTATGAGTACAATCAAGTGTTCTAGAATTCCCATTCTTCTCAATGTTATCCATAATTTGTCACGATCCATACAATTGAATGCTTTTGCATAGTCAATAAAACACAAACATCTTTCTGGTATTCTTTGCTTTCAGCTAAGATCCATCGGACAGCAGTAATGGCATCCCTTGTTCCATGTCCTCTTAGGGTTTTCTTGGCTACAATCTTTACGGCCTTTCTTCTGTGGTGCTGCTGGGTGGGTTTGAACTTTTAGGTTAATAGTGCACCACAAACCATTTGCATCATCCAGGGTCCTCTTGTTAGGATTTGATGTGACAATTTCAGCATCTTTTGGTACTAAAACCAAATGAAACTCACTGCCATCAAGTTGATTCTGACTCATAGTGACCCAACGGCCTTGGAAACCCTTTGTTACATCAAATCCTAACAAGAGGACCCTGGATGGTGCCAATGGATTGTGCTGGACTGCTAACCTAAAAGCTCAAATCCACCCAAGCAGCACCATGGAAGAAAGGCCTAGTGATCTGTTCCTGTAAAGATTATATCCAAGAAAACCCTCTAAAAAAAACTCACTGGCATCGAGTCAGATCCAACTCATAGTGACTCCTCCTTGGGCTTCTGAGATGGTATCTCTACAGAAGTAGATTGCCCAACCTTCCTTCCAAGAAGTGCCTGGTGGATTTGAACTGCCAGCCTTCTGGTTAGCAGTCAAATGCCTTAGGTACTATGCCACCAGAGCTCCCAAGAAAACCCTAGGGAGTAGTTATTACAACAATGGGTTAGTTTTGTTTTTTTGTATCCTCTTATAAGTGGCAGCCAGGGCTGGTGGCTGGAACAGGTAAGAGGGAGAGAGACCCCAGGCAGGAAGTGACAACCAGGGCCGATGGCTGGAACAGGTGAGACAGAGAGACACCTGAGGCAGGAAGCAACAGCTGGCCGATGGTGGGAACAGGCAAGAGGGAGAGCCCCCAGGCAGGAAGCTAAGGGAGAGGCACTTGTCTGCCAGTTTGTTTTACTGTGGTGGCTTGCATGTTGCTGAGAGGCTAGAGGCTGTGCCATCGGTATTTCAAACGCCAGCAGGGTTGCCCATGGTGGATGGGTTTCAGCAGAGCTTCCATACTGAGACAGACACAGAAGAAAGAGGCTATCTACTTCTCAAACAACTGGGCAGTGAAAACCTTATGAATAGTAGTGAAACACTGTCTGATATATTACTGGGCAACTTTATGAATAGCCCTGAAACAGTGTCCGATACAGTGCTGGAAGATGAGCACCTCTGGTCAGAAGGCACTCAAGATACAACTGGGAAAGAGCTGCCTCATCAGAGTAGAGCCAATCTTAATGACATGAATAAAGTAGAGCTTTCAGGACCTCCATTTGCTGATGTGGCACACTTCAAAATGAGAAGAAACAGCTACAAGCATCCATTAATAATCAGAATATGGAATGTGTGAAGTATGAATCTAGGAAAACTGGAAGTTGTCAAAAATGAAATGGAACGCATAAAGATTGATATCCTAGGCATTAGTGAGCTGAAATAGACTGGTTTTGGCCATTTTGAATCAGATGACCATATGATCTACTGTGTTGGGAATCACAAATTGAAGAAGAATGGTATGGCATTCATTATCACAAAGAATGTTTCAAGATCTATCCTGAAGTACAATGCTGTCGGTGACAAGATAATATCCAGA